TACATATCGCGGCCTTTTTTTTTTTTTTTTTTTTTTTTCCGTTCCTTGAAAGTTCCACCATAAAGTATATTCTGATGAAGGTTTCTGGGTGTTTTTTGGTTTTTTTTTTTTGGGGTGTTTTTGCGGGCTCGCTCCGTGGCGTCTGGCGAATCGGCGTTTGGCGCGCGTGGAAGAGATTGCGCGTCCGCCTGTCGGGTTTCAGCGTAAAGCAGATTAAGTCTTATTTACTCGCAATATTTCTTCCCGGAAGACGTGAAATGTGACTGGTATCAGGCAGGACATGTTTTCCTTCCACAGTTCTGTTTTTTTTTTAAGGGCTGATACTGGATTTTCTCAAGTTTATTAACGTTGATTGTATTGTCACTGGAAAAGCGAGGTTTTTTTTTTTTTTATTTTTTTATTTTTTTTTTTTATTTTTTTTTTTGTAATAGACGTCTATGTTTGTCCAAGAATGCTCTTCAGGGAAGTAAATTAATATTTACAGAAACCATGCATGCTGTAGACAGTACGTGGAAATGATTCGAGATACCAGCTGCTGCTCCATTAACTATTGCTTGTTATCCGGAGGTGTTTTGTAATACTTTGCAGCTTCCCCAAACTTTTTTTTTTTTTTGCTTTTATTCTTGCTTGGTTTGGATTACTTTTTTTTTTATATTTTTGCATATTTATTTATTTTTTATTTTTATTTTTTTTCTTGTTTAGTGCTTTATTACTTTTTGCATTTTTTTTGTGCACATTTACTGTGTATTTTTATTTATTTATTTATTTATTTATTTATTTATTTTTAGTGTTTTGTTAGTTTTTTTTATAATTTTTTTGGCATATTTAGGTATTTTTCTTTTTTTCTGCACATTTACTGTATTTTTTTTATTTATTTATTTTTAGTGTTTTGTTAGTTTATTTGTATTTTTTTTTTTTTTTGCATATTCAGTTATTTTTCTTCTTTTCTGCACATTTTACTGTTTTTTTTTTTTGTTTGTTTAGTGTTTTGTTAGTTTTCTTTTGGCATATTTATTTATTTTAGTTTTAGGTGACAACACAGGAACACAATTGAGAGACAGCGCATTGTCACTCTGTAACAGGAAGTGTCTGAAGGTGGCAGGATCACCAGTGGTGAATTGGTGGACTATGCCTATGTCATATGCGTTGAAATGCGTTGAAACGGCCACTTGTAGTCCCTATCAGATTAGTTTTTAGGGTTTTTTTTTCTCATTTAGTTTGTTTTTTTTAGTTAGTTACTTTTAGTTAGTTTAGTTTGTTACTTTTTTGTATATTGTTGGCATATTCATTTTTTGTTTAGTGTTTTTTTTTAGTTGTTTTTTTTGCTTTTCTTTTTTGTTTAGTGTTTTTTTTTTTTAGTTGTGTTTTTTTTTATTTTTTTATTTAGTGTTTTATTACTTTTGTGTGTTTTTTTGCTTTTCTTTTTTTTTATAGTTTTTTTTTAGTTGTGTTTTTTTGCTTTTATTTTTTTTATTTAGTGTTTTATTACTTTGTGTGTTTTTGTTTGCTTTTCTTTTTTGTTTAGTGTTTCTTTAGTTGTGTTTTGTTTTCTTTTTTTATTTATTGTTTTATTACTTTTGTGTGTTTTTTTTCTTTTCTTTTTTTTTTAGTTGTTTTTTTTTTTTGCTTTTCTTTTTTATTTAGTGTTTTATTACTTTTGTGTGTTTTGTTTGCTTTTCTTTTTTGTTTAGTGTTTTTTTTATTGTGTTTTGGTTTTTGCTTTTCTTTTTTGTTTAGTGTTTTTTTTTTTGTTGTGTTTTTTTTTTAAGCTTTTCTTTTTTGTTTATTTTTTTAGTTGTTTTTTTTTAGCTTTTCTTTTTTGTTTAGTGTTTTTTTTTAGTTTTGTTTTGTTTGCTTTTCTTTTTTGTTTAGTTTTTTTTTTGTGTTTTTTTTTTCTTTTCTTTTTTGTTTAGTGTTTTATTACTTTTGTGTTGTTTTTTTTTTTACATTTACTAATTTTTTTTTCTTGTTTAGTTTTTTTCTTACTTTTTTTTTCACATTTACTGGGTTTTTTTTTTACTGTTTAGTACTTTTCATTTAATTTTATTTTTTTTTTTATATATATTTGTATTTCGCTCATACAGTGTCTACTTTATTTTTTTTCCTTGTGTGGTGTAATGCCTTATAAACGTTTGGTTATGTTTAAACTTTTGAATCGTTTTTTTTTTTTTCTTTTTCAATTCGCGTTTTGACACTTTTGACTTTTTTTTTTTCCCGCATCGACCATAAGAGATGCCTGTAGGTAGTTGATCGTGACTTAGCCATAGCCAGCGGCGAGGGAGCTGTTAACCCTTCGAATCCACTTGGAGCTTTAAAAAGTAAATAAGAAAAAAAAAATTCTGCAGAAGGACAAGAATTCCAGGCGTAGATGCCGCAGCAGAAACTTTGGCGCTGTTTTGGTTTCAGAGCGGACCCAGGGAGCGCATTGGGGAATTAGTCGTGTTTGCTTTCCAGAGCCGTCGTTCGTAATTGTGGCCCTCAGCGCCTAACACGACGTGGATGTGAAGTGACGGCTCCTTCCCCGTCGCAGGGACGGCGTCCGTGTCTTGCAGGGACGGGAAAAAGAATTTAGCTTGTCATGTGTCTGTTTTGGCGTCCGGAATGCGAGAGAGCGAGCGAGCGGCGGGGAAGTCGGCGAAATGCTCCGATTTGGCAGAAAGTTACACCGAGTTAACTATTTTGGAGACCTGACGCAAGCCGTACCTGCGGAGCGCAGCGATTGGTCGCAGGGTTCCGTCAATCTCGTTTTCCACTTAGGTTGGCTTGAGTTTGGATCGTTAATCGTCTGGCCCCCGGGGGGGGGGGGGGGAGTTGGCACTTGGAGTTCGATGTAAACCCGTCCTCTGTGTATAATAAACAGATCGTTACATTTATATAGAACAATGCTGTTTTCACCTATTTTTACTCCTTTGTTCCGTCTCGGTGCTCCTGATCTCCAGCGGACTATTTGCAGCCATTTCCCGTCTCTTTCCGTTCAGGGCAGGGGCGGACTGACAACTCATGGGGCCCCCGGGCAATAGGGGATCATGGGGCCCCTGTGTCCTTGCCCATACTCAAAGCACACCCAAAAAAGCCTATAAAAGGTACCAGGGGCATTTCATGGGGGCCCCTACTGACCCCGGGCCCTCGGGCAGTGCCCGAGTGCTCGAATGGTCAGTCCGCCCCTGGTTCAGAGCAGATCTCCTGACGGTGACAGCGGTGGACCGGGTCCATCTAAAGAGTTTTAAAAACCTGATTATTTATTTATTATTATTTTATTTCAGGTGCTTAGTTTACATATATATTGTACATTTGCATCAGTCCCCGCCCCCGAGGAGCGTACAGGCTAAGGTCCCTAACTCACATTCATACGTACACATACAGGAGCCAATGAACCTACCGGCAGGTCTTTGGAATGTGTGAGGAAACCAGAGATTCCGGAGGAAACCCGCACAGGGAGAATACTTGTGTCCTCCATGAGCCCTGTGTGCCAAGGTGACAACACAGGAACACAATTGAGAGACAGCACATTGTCACCCTGTAACAGGGAGTGTCTGAACGTGGCAGGATCTGGTGGACTATGCCTATGGCATGGGCATTGAAATGGCCACTTATAGTCCCTATCAGAAGGCCATGTAAAAGGGTGACAACACTTTGTCTCTGTCTCCCAATTGTGCTCCTGTGTTGTCACCCTATAGCAAGAATTTGTTGAACATGGCAGGATCACCAGCGGTGAACTGGTGGACTATGCCTATGTCATGGGCATTGAAATGGCCATTTGTAGTCCCTATCAGAAGGCCATGTGACAGGGTGACAACGCTTTGTCTCTGTCTCCCAATTGTGCTCCTGTGTTGTCACCCTATAGCAGGAGTTTGTTGAACATGGCAGGATCACCAGCAGTGAACTGGTGGACTACGCCTATGTCATGGGCATTGAAATGGCCGCCTGCAGTCCCTATCAGAAGCCCATGTGACAGGGTGACAACACAGGAACACAATTGGGAGACAGAGACAAAGCGTTGTCACCTTTTTACATGGGCTTCTGATAGGAACTAAGTGGCCATTTCAATGCACATGACATAGGCATAGTGCACCAGTTCACTGCTGGTGATCCTGCCATGTTCAACAAACTCCTGCTATAGGGTGACAACACAGGAGCACAATTGGGAGACAGAAACAAAGTGTTGTCACCCTATAACAGGAAGTGCCTGAACATAGCAGGATCACCAGCAGTAGAGTGGTGCACTATGCCTGAGTTGTGTGTGTTGAAACAACCACTTGTAGTCTCCATCAGCCTATATGCCAAGGTGACAACGCAGGAGAACAACTGGGGAAAAAAGACAGAGTGTTGCCACCTTATAACAGGAAGTGTATGAACATGGCAGGATCACCAGCGGTGGTCTGGTGCCTTATGCCTCAGTCATGTGTGTTGAAATGGCCACTTGTAGTCTCCATCAGCTTCTGTGCCAAGGTGACAACACAGGAGCACATTTGGAAGACAGAGACAGAGCGTTGTCACCCTATAACAGGAAGTGTCTGAACATAGTAGGCTCACCCGCAGTGGAGTGGTTCACTATGCCTGAGTCATGTCTATTAAAACGATTACATGTAGTCACCATCAGAAGCCCATGTGACAACGCAGAGAAACAACTAGAAAAAAAGGAAGAGTGTTGTCACCCTATAACAGGAAGTGTCTGAACAAGTATCTGTATGGCGGGATCACCAGTGATTATTTCAATAAAAGCTGCAGGATTTACAATGCTGAGAATGACTTTTGACATGCCGTTAACATGTTAATGTATCACTTTATATGGGTTGTGATGTCGGGAGGAGGGGCTCTCAATCATACAGCACTGTGATTGGCTGCACAGTGCTGATGTTATCAAGAGCCTGTCATACTGTACTTGTCCTTCGGTCCAATGGAGCGCATCTCAGAACAAGACAGTAGCAAATGTAGTTGGCAGCTGGATGTAAAGGCCCGCCCACCCTGCCATCCCATGTACTTTATATTGCCCAAAGGATTGTCCCTGCCCTCCTAGTCATGTGATTCAGGTGCTCCAATCCCCTCCATATCATGTGATTTAGGTGTTCCAATCCCCTCCATATCATGTGATTCAGGTGTTCCAATCCCCTCCGTATCATGTGATTCAGGTGTTCCAATCCCCTCCGTATCATGTGATTCAGGTGTTCCAATCCCCTCCATATCATGTGATTCAGGTGTTCCAATCCCCTCCGTATCATATGATTCAGGTGTTCCAATCCCCTCCGTATCATGTGATTCAGGTGTTCCAATCCCCTCCGTATCATGTGATTCAGGTGTTCCAATCCCCTCTGTATCATGTGATTCAGGTGTTCCAATCCCCTCCATATCATGTGATTCAGGTGTTCCAATCCCCTCCATATCATGTGATTCAGGTGTTCCAATCCCCTCCATATCATGTGATTCTGGTGTTCCAATCCCCTCCATATCATGTGATTAAGGTGCTCCAATCCCCTCCATATCATGTGATTCAGGTGTTCCAATCCCCTCCATGGACACAGGTGTATACAATCAAGCCCCTAGGCATGCAGACTGCTTCTTCTACAAACATTGGTGAAAGAATGGGTCGCTCTCAGGAGCTCAGTGACTCCAAGCGTGGTACCGTGATAGGTGGCCACCTGGGCAATAAGTCCATCCATGACATTTCCTGGCTACTAAATATTCCACGCTCAACTGTTAGTGGGATTATAACAAAGTGGAAGCAACTGGGAACAACAGCCACTCAGCCACCAAGTGGTAGGCCACGTCACATGACAGGGCGGGGTCAGCGCATGCTGAAGCGCACAGTGCGCAGAAGTCGCCAACTGTCTGCAGAGTCAATAGCTAAAGACCTCCAAACTTGGTGTGTCCTTCAGATGAGCCCAACAACAGTGCGTAGAGGGCTTCATGGAATGGGTTTCCATGGCCGAGCAGCTGCATCCAAGCCTTCCATCACCAAGTGCAATGCAAAGTGTTGGATGCCGTGGTGTAAAGCACGCCGCCACTGGACTCTAGAGCAGTGGAGACATGTTCTCTGGAGTGACAATCACGCTTCTCTGTCTGGCAATCCAATGGACATGTCTGGGTTTGGCGGTTGCCAGGAGAACAGTATTTGCCTGACTGCATTGTGCCAAGTGTAAAGTTTGGTGGAGGGGGGATTATGGTGTGGGGTTGTTTTTCAGGGGTTGGGCTTGGCCCCCTAGTTCCAGTGAAGGGAACTCTTAAGAAATAATTTTGGACAATTTCATGCTCCCATCTTTGTGGGAGGAGTTTGGGGATGGCCCCTTCCTGTTCCAACATGACTGCCCACCAGTGCACAAAGCAATGTCCATAAAGACATGGAGGAGCCAGTTTGGAGTGGAGGAACTTGACTGTCCTGCACAGAGTCCTGACCTCAACCCCATAGAACACCTTTGGGATGAATTAGAGCGGAGACTGTGAGCCTGGCCTCCTCCCCCGACATCAGTGCCTGACCTGACAAATGTGCTTCTGGAAGAATGGTCCAACCTTCCCATAGACACCCTCCTAAACCTTGTGGACGGCCTTCCCAGAAGAGTTGAAGCTGTTATAGCTGCAAAGGGCGGGGCCAACTCAATATTGAACCCTACGGACTAAGAGTGGGAGGCCATTAAAGGTCATGTGCGTGGAAAGGGCGGGGCCAACTCAATATTGAACCCTACGGACTAAGACTGGGGGGTCATTAAAGGTCATGTGCGTGGAAAGGGCGGGGCCAACTCAATATTGAACCCTACGGACTAAGACTGGGGGGTCATTAAAGGTCATGTGCGTGGAAAGGGCGGGGCCAACTTAATATTGAACCCTACGGACTAAGACTGGGGGGCCATTAAAGGTCATGTGCGTGGAAAGGGCGGGGCCAACTCAATATTGAACCCTACGGACTAAGACTGGGGGGCCATTAAAGGTCATGTGCGTGGAAACGGCGGGGCCAACTCAATATTGAACCCTACGGACTAAGACTGGGGGGCCATTAAAGGTCATGTGCGTGGAAAGGGCGGGGCCAACTCAATATTGAACCATACGGACTAAGCCTGGGGGGCCATTAAAGGTCATGTGCGTGGAAAGGGCGGGGCCAACTCAATATTGAACCCTACGGACTAAGCCTGGGGGGCCATTAAAGGTCATGTGCGTGGAAAGGGCGGGGCCAACTCAATATTGAACCATACGGACTAAGCCTGGGGGGCCATTAAAGGTCATACTGCGGGCAATGTATTGTATGTACGTAGCTGTTTTAAATGGGTCAAAAAATCTGATATTTTAGCGATTCCATCTTCTTCAGGATGGTTTTTCCTTCTCCGGGTACAAGGTTTACTTGCGCTCCGTTCACATTTCAGCTGCACGCGTTCACGGAATGCCCCAAAAATGCGCGTCTTGCTTGTGGTGCCATTTATCGTTCAATAGCCGCACGCAACAAAAGGGGTAACAAATGCGCTGTAAAAAGACGCTCAAACCTCAATGCCCCGAAAGGTGCAAGGGCTTCTTTGTCGCCATTGAAAAGAACGGGATGCCCTATGTGCGTTGCGAAAAAAAGTGCGAGAAAACGGGCGCCAGAGCGACGTGCAGATGAGAATGGGGCCCCGAGTGTAACACTCAGCCAGTCATCTTCCCGAGGAAATAAGGGGCCGATTCATGAACGCTCTCAGGCAATGTTCTGCATTCTTTACAGCTTCGCCTATTTATCAGGCTGTTCCGGTCAGTTTCCTCCCCCATTTTCTCCGCATTTTTCGGCGCAGGAGAAAATAATCCGCCAAAATGCGAATGAATTTCAAACCGTTTATAAAGACTTTTTTTTACCTTTTCAATCCTTAAAATTTCCGCTGACCGATACCGGGCGCCATCCGCCATCCGCCATTTCTAATGGAGAAATCTGCTTATATTCCCCCCCCCCCCTGTGAATCTGTTGCAAAGTTTCTTCCTGGGAGATCCTCCCAGTAGCAGCCACTTCCTGTTGCAGGCTGACAACGCTAAGCTGATGCCTAGCTGTTGACAGCAGCGTTGTCAGCCTGGGGTGGGCGCTCTTTCAGTTGGCTGTTGGGCTGCTCATCAGGTCTATGACATAGGCAGCCTTAGGGCCAGCTAATGGGACTCATATACCAGACTGACAACAGCGCTAAACAGGGGCGGACTGACCATTTAGGAACTCGGCACTGCCCGAGGGCCCGGGGTCAGTATGGGGCCCCATGAGATGCCCCTGGTACCTTTCATGGGCTTTTTTGGGTGTGGTTTGAGTGTGGCCATGGACACAGGGGCCCCATGACCCCCTATTGCCCGGGGGGAGCCCTATAAGTTGTCAGTCAGTAGGGGGCCCCATGAGATGCCCCTGGTACCTTTCATGGGCTTTTTTGGGTGTGGTTTGAGTGTGGGCGTGGACACAGGGTCCCGGGGTCAGTAGGGGGTCCCATGAGATGCCCCTGGTACCTTTCATAGTCTTTTTCATAGGCTTTTTTGGGTGTGGGCGAGGACACGGGGGCCCCATTATCCCCTATTGCCCAGGGGCCCCATGAGTTGTCAGTCCACCCCACACTCAAACCACACCCACAAAAGCCTATGAAAGGTACCACGGGCATCTCATGGGGCCCCCTACTGACCCCGGGACCCTGTGTCCACGCCCACACTCAAACCACACCCACAAAAGCCTATGAAAGGTACCACGGGCATCTCATGGGGCCCCCTACTGACCCCGGGACCCTGTGTCCACGCCCACACTCAAACCACACCCAAAAAAGCCTATGAAAGGTACCAGGGGCATCTCATGGGGCCCCCTTACTGACCCCGGGCCCTCGGGCAGTGCCCGAGTGCTCGAACGGTCAGTACGCCCCTGGTTGTGACGCAGCAGCTTAGCGTTGTCACCCTCCAACAGGAAGTGGCAGGACCTCCAGGTAAGAGACTCACAGCAAGGATATTCTTTAAGGCGGCATTAATCCCATTGTATTGAATTTTATCCATTCTTGAATGTGGTGGCTGCATTAGTTTTCTTTTTAGGGTTTCTCTCCTTCATTTTCACGTGGTGATCCGGCCTGTAAGTCTGTTTTTTTTTTTTTTTTCCAAAAGAACAAGCTCTCCTACAGATGTAGCCGTTAGAGGGTTGTGACAAACCATTTACCCGTGACAGGGGTGCTTACAGTGATCAGCTTTTATTTATTGATGTAAAAAGGAAAAGAAAAAAAAAACTCTTTGCTGTAACGGATTGTAAAGTGTTAGCTGGGGTTTGGCTTCAATTTGTTAGTGTATCTAAATCTGCTAGTCCATCTAATGCAGGCCATACATGGGTGGGATTCCGAACGATTTTTTCGTACAAAAATCAAACGTCGTTCGCTCAGTAATCCGATGGCGCCATCAATGATTTCGAAAATCAACCGACCGAGTCATAAAGTTCCCCCCATATAACAGGTGAGACTTCTATTCCTTCCAGGTCACGGCTCATGGCGCAGATTCTTATCAGAAAAACGATCGTACGATTTGACCGTCATTGAGTCGAAAATCGGTCGTTTTTCATGAAGTTTACAACATGACCGATCACCGAAAAGGGGGAGGAGCCACAAAAATTGTCCGGTGTCATTGACCCCACTAACAGAGCGAAAATCGGCCGATTATTCTTAGGTCGAATTTTGACCCATGTATGGCCGGCCTAACACTCCCCTCTCCCCCAGACTGACAGCGCCCCCTGTGCTCCTTCCTCCAGAGCGGGGGCGCTCTAATACCAGAGGTGTGTTACTGGCCGGATCACCAGGTGAAAATAAAGCTTAAAAAAAAGAATACTAATGCAGCCACCACATCTACTGGTTAGTAAACTGCAATATAGGACATTTTTGGCTTTGGGTTTAATACTGCTTTGCACCGGCCCCTCGGGGCCCTATCAGAGTTTCAGAAGTCGGGAGGTGGGTGGGGTTCTATGGGGCATGTGACCACTGTGATTCTCTGTCACGTGATCGGAAAAGGTCCCGATCGCAAGGGGAGATCGGGACCTTTCCGCAAGTCACAGACAAGTCCCCTCCCCACCATGTTCCCCTATGGGTACCATTCTTATCTCTGCAACTTCAAAGTAGTTCCTGCACTACTTTGGGACGACTTTCATGCGACTTGAGGGCCATAAACTTCATGAAAACCCTCCAAAGTCGCATGACAAAACCCCCCCACATTCCCCAATGGGTACCATTCATATCTGCAACTTCAAAGTAGTTCCTGCACTACTTTGGTCTGACTTTCATGCGACTTGAGGGCCATAGACTTCATGAAAACCCTCCAAAGTTGCATGACAAGTCCCCCCCCCATGTTCCCCAATGGGTACCATTCATAACTGTGCGACTTCAAAGTAGTTCCTGCACTACTTTGGGACGACTTTCATGCGACTTGAGGGCCATAAACTTCATGAAAACCCTCCAAAGTCGCATGACAAAACCCCCCCACGTTCCCCAATGGGTACCATTCATATCTGCAACTTCAAAGTAGTTCCTGCACTACTTTGGTCTGACTTTCATGCGACTTGAGGGCCATAGACTTCATGAAAACCCTCCAAAGTTGCATGACAAGTCCCCCCCCCATGTTCCCCAATGGGTACCATTCATAACTGTGCGACTTCAAAGTAGTTCCTGCACTATTTTGGTCCAACTTTCATGCGACTTGAGGGCCATAGACTTCATGTAAGCCCCCAAAAATGCATGCCAAGTCCCCCACCCCCATGTGCCCCTATGGGTACCATTCATATCTGTGCGACTTCAAAGTAGTTCCTGCACTACTTTGGTCCGACTTTCATGCGACTTGAGGGCCATAAACTTCATGAAAACCCTCCAAAGTCGCATGACAAGTCGTCCCCCCCCCCCATGTTCCCCAATGGGAACCATTCACATATACAACTTCAGAGTAGTTTCTGCACTACTTTGGTCCGACTTTCATGCGACTTGAGGGCCAT